TAACACTGTATAAAGATCACAGGAAGTCAATCAATCAATAAAAAAAAAAAAAAAAAAAAAAAAAAAAAAAAAAAAAAAGTATAAACACAGAATTCCACCAATAAAAATCATTTATACACATGAATAATTCAATATAGGAAGAGAATAATGTTGGTTTCCTGATGAGTGCATCAAGGGGGGGGGGGTTGAGGAATAAATTCTTATAGGTTTATCTTGCCCACTGCGTAATTAACACATTTCAAAATAAATCCTTTGCCATGAGCTTTTCCAATCAGAGTAAAGTATTGCTCTAACAGTAGTAATAAATGTTTGTGTGTATGGATGTGTGCACATACAAGTCTTGTGCGTAAGGAACTCCCTTGATGTAATACATTTGCATAAAAGACACAAAATATATAAATAAATGCAGGTACATGAGCATGCAAGCAGAAACAAAGCAAAAGCACAAAAAACTGGTTCTGCAAGTCAAGGGAGAGCAGTTTGGAAGACTAATCAGGTCAGGTGAGACAGAGTAGGCATGCACACAATAGGAAAGGTCACTGGCTTTGCACTCCCAGAGCAAAGTTCATCATACTTCCTGTTCTTGGGCTGATGTAACTCTGCCTTAGTGTCTATTCAATCAAATTGTCTTTTTACTTTGCATTTCTGCACATCACTCTCTATTCCCCTCTGCTGTGATATTATACATTTGGTTTGCTTTTAATATCATCATATGGTAGTTTTGTGGTGAGAGAGGAAAGGGTAGACAGTTATAAGAGGGGAGGTGGGGGATGGATGAAGAAAGAGCAGAGAGAGGGAGAGAGGAGAGAGGAGGGAGGAGAGGAGGAGAGGAGGAGGAGGAGGAGGGAGGAGGAGGGAGGAGGGAGGAGAGTGGAGGGAGGGAGGAGGGAGGAGAGTGGAGAGCAGAATGATGAGTGATGAAATTAGAAAGAAGTCTAAAAGAAAAAAAAAAAGCAGCCAGACAATAATGAAAACATCACCTTCACAAATTTGTTGTTTGCACATGAATGTCAATACAATATCAAGCTGAAATAAGGAACTTGTATCCTCTGCCCTCTCAGCTAAATTCTTGGCATGCACAGCACATATAGCTATTCTGGCCAAGGAGGGAGAGAGAGAGAGAGAGAGAGCAAGGATAAAACACACACACACACACACACACACACACACACACACACACACACACACACACACACACACACACACATATTTATGTGTGTGAGTGTGAGTGAGTGAGTGAGTGAGTGAGTGAGTGAGTGAGTGAGTGAGTGAGTGAGTGAGTGAGAGTGAGCAAGCGAGCAAGTGAGCGAGTGTGTGTGTGAATGTGTGTATGTATGTGTGTGTATATGTGTGTGTGTGTGTGTGTGTGTGTGTGTGTGTGTGTGTGTGTGTGTGTGTGTGTGTGTGTGTGTGTGTGTGTGTGTGTGTGTGTGTGTGTGTGTGTGTGTGTGTGTGTGTGTGATCTGCGTGTGTGTGTGTGTATCTGCGTGTGTGTGTGTCTGTGTGTGTGTGTGTCTGTGTGTCTGTGTCTGTGTGTGTGTGTGTCCGCGCGTGTGTGTCCGCGTGTGTGTGTCTGCGTGTGTGTGTCCGCGTGTGTATGTGTCCGCATGTGTGTGTGTCCACGTATGTGTATGCATGTGTGTGTGTGTACACACACACACACACACACACACACACACACGTATGTCTGTATGTCTGTATGTCTGTATGTCTGTATGTCTGTATGTCTGTATGTCTGTATGTCTGTATGTCTCTGTCTCTGTCTCTGTCTCTGTCTCTGTCTCTGTCTCTGTCTTCTCTGTCTCTGTCTCTCTGTCTCTGTCTCTGTCTCTGTCTCTGTCTCTCTCACTCTCTCTCTCTCTCTCTCTCTCTCTCTCACTCTCTCTCACTCTCACTCTCTCACTCTCACTCTCACTCTCTCTCTCTCTCTCTCTCTCTCTCTCTCTCTCTCTCTCTCTCTCACTCTCTCTCTCTCTCTCTCTCTCTCTCTCTCTCTCTCTCTCTCTCTCTCTCTCTCTCTCTCTCTCTCTCTCTCTCTCTCTCTCTCTCTCTCTCTCTCTCTCTCTCTCTCTCACTCTCTCTCACTCTCACTCTCACTCTCACTCTCACTCTCACTCTCACTCTCACTCTCACTCTCACTCTCACTCTCACTCTCACTCTCACTCTCACTCTCACTCTCACTCTCACTCTCACTCTCACTCTCACTCTCCTACCCATTATACTTTTTACTCTGATACTTTTTCCCAGATGTCATTATAGACTTCAAGAAGTTTTTTATGTGTTTCTGAAAAGCTCATTACATCACTATGGGTAATGTGACCAGCACTAAATCATTCATGTTTTAAATGGACAGGGGATTTGGTCA